GTAAAAAATAATGTACAGTAGTACCCAGTAGGATAGTGCAAAACAAACAATCGGATAACTCAACAAATAAATACATGACTGTATCCAGGTGAATAAGTAATTAAGCCGTCGGTGCAGGCGATTCACAAAAGTGATTAAAGTATTGTGTAAGTGAATTAGGGGTAGTAGCAGCATATGATATGATGGGGGGATAAAAACATATTTACAATAAGAACTCTTGGGTAATATTGCACAGTCTGGGAGGGAACAGAATAACCTGGGTAAAGGTATTAGGAGAATCACCTACAGGGTGAGGAAGAGTTAAACAATCCTATTGCCACCGGTACAAAGGATTTCCTGTGGCGGTCAGTTCTGCATTTCGGGGCAATGAGTCTTTTGCTGCGTTTGCTTCGATGGTCCATCATGTTGGCGTGCATGGGGTGGGAGGGGTTGTCCATGATAGAGAGAAGCTTTTTTAGCATTCTCCTCTCAGACACCTCCTCCAGGTTCTCTAGTCTAACACCCAGGACAGACCCAGCCTTTCTAATCAGCTTGTTCGGACGGTTGGCATCAGCTATCTTCACCCCACTGCCCCAGCACACAGCTGCAAAGAACACAACGCTCTCCAACACCGAGTGGTAGAACATGGTCAGCATTTCCCTCCCAACATTGAAGGACCTGAGCCGCCTCAGAAGAAAAAGCCGACTCTGCCCTTTTTTGAACATAGCATTGGTATTCTTAGTCCAGTCCAGTTTACAGTCCAAGTGAACCCCCAGGTACCGGTAGTCCTCAACGATCTCAACGTCAGCCCCTCTTATGGTGACAGGAGTAGGAGGTGGGGCCTCCTTCCTAAAGTCCATAATAAGTTCCTTAGTCTTTGTGGTGTTAAGTTGTAGGTGGTTTCACTCACACCACTCAACAAAGCTGTCCACCACACTCCTGTACTCCACCTCCTGACCATCCCTGATACAGCCCACGATGGCAGAGTCATCAGAGAATTTCTGCAGATGGCAAGACGGAGACTTGTACCTGAAGTCAGATGTGTAAAGGGTGAAGAGGAAGGGTGATAGGACTGTCCCCTGCGGCGCCCCCGTGCTGCTCAGGATGTTATCTGAGCGGCAGCTCATCAGTTGGACATGCTGTGGTCTACTTGTGAAATAGTCTGTAATCCAACCTAATAGTGGGGCATCCACCTGCATTTCCGTGAGCTTATTCCCCAGCAGTGATGGTCTGATCGTGTTAAAGGCACTAGAGAAGTCAAAAAACATGACCCTCACAGTACTCCCAACAATGTCCAGGTGAGAATATGCCTGGTCCAGTAGGTAGATGAGGACATCCTCCACACCGATATGAGGTTGATAAGCAAACTGCAGGGGATCCAGCCAAGGCTCCACCAGCAGCCGCAGATGTTTTAGGACGAGTCTCTCCAGTGTCTTCATGACATGTGAGGTCAGAGCCACTGGCCTGTAGTCACTGGGGGTTGACGGGTTAATCTTTTTAGGGACAGGAACCAGGCAGGATGTCTTCCAGAGTGATTGAACGCTCTGCATCTCCAGACTCATGTTGAAGATCCGTTGTAAAACTCCAGACAGCTGGGAAGCACAACACCTAAAGGTTGGTTTATGCTTGACGTGTCCGCGAGGTCCGCATGGCTCCGCGTGGAAAAGCTGCGTCATTTTGCGTCATTTTAACAACCACGCCCCTCCACCGCGCCTCCGCACGGCCCAGAATTTCCGCAACGCGCACCTCAGAAAATTTCTAACCACGCGGACGGATGGACGCGGAAAAACATGGCGGACCGGCAAGAACTAGTACGGCAGAGGTTCGTAAATACAGACATTTGTATGATTCAGCCCTCAAAGATCACCGTGATCAACGTGTTGTTAATAATTCTTGGAGAGAAATAGCTTGCACTGTCGGAAAAGACGAGGACGCTGTTAAAATTGCTGAAACGCCATGTTGTAAACAGTAATTTCTACTTCTACTATGGTGTAGTGTTGGATGCTTGCCGTAGAGCTCCATGCTGCCCCGTTCAGTTTGGGAGAATATTGGCTCACCGCAGAGACAAGCTGCACGAACCATAAACACTGCGAGTTGTGAAGCGCGTTACATCCGCGAGCCTCATCACCAAGCGGAAAGTGAATGCGTCAAGCGTAAACCAAGCTTTAGGGCCCTTGGACTGACACCATCAGGACCAGCAGCTTTGCCGGGGTGGAGTCTGCCCAGTTCTTTTTTGATGTCATCTGCTGAGAGGGACAGGGTGAGACAGTCAGAGGAGGCAGGAGAGGGGGTGGGGGGTGGGGGGGTAAGATGGGAAGATCTGGCTGTGGAGACAGGAGACGCAGGGCAGTGGAACCTATTGAAGTGTAGATTTAGGTTGTTAGCACTTTCGACATCCCCCTCCATCCCAACACCTCTCTTTTGTCTCAGGCCAGTGATAGCCCGCATTCCATTCCACACCTCCCTGGTGTTGTTTTCCTGCAGTTTGTTTTCCAGCCTCCGTCCGTAGGACTCTTTCCCCTCAGCAATCTTGGCTTTCAGCTCCCTCTGCACCAGTTTCAGCTGATCTCTGTCACCATTTCTGAAAGCTCTTTTTTTCATGTTCAGGGTTGCTTTTATGTCTTTGGAAACCCAGGGCTTATTGTTGGGGAAGCACAGTATGGTTTTTGGGGGACTACCGTGTCAACACAGAAGTTGATATAGTCTGTAACACAGCCTGTCAGATTGTCAATATTGTCCTGATTGGAATCACAAAGAACATCCCAGTCCGTTGACTCTAAGCATCCCTGCAGAGTCTCTTCCAGCTCCCTTGTCCATGTTGTAACCATTTTTGTGGCTGCAGGTTGTCTCTGGACGGCAGGTCTATAAAGGGGCTGGAGGAAGACCAGGTTGTGGTCAGCCCTGCCCAGAGGAGGGAGAGGGCTGGAGGTGTATGCCTCAGCAGCATTGGCATAAAACAGGTCCAGTGTTTTATTGTTTCTTGTTTTGCAGTCCACATACTGCTTGAATGTAGGTAGAACAGTGGAGAGGTTTGTGTGGTTAAAATCGCCCGTTATAGCCACTAACGCAGAGGGACTACGATTTAGTACGTCCGCTGTCGCAGAGCTGATGACGTCATACGCCTGCGCCACGTTGGCATCAGGAGCGATGTAAACAATGATGATAATGGTGAGGGAAAATTCACGCGGTAGATAATATGGTTGGACACCGACCGCCAACAGTTCTATGTGTTTGTTACACACAGCCATCCTCACCTTAACGTGACTGGGGGAACACCAGCGGGTATTAACATAAAGAACGAGTCCTCCTCCCCTCTTCTTCTCACAACTGCCTGAGTCCCTGTCCGCTCTCACACACGTAAATCCATTTATATCCACCACCTGGTCCGGGATGTTTTTGTGCAGCCATGTCTCCGTGTAACACATAACACTGCATTCTCGGAAAACTTTCTCGATCCTTGTTAACGTCGCGATCTCCTCCATCTTATTAACCAGCATTCTGACATTGCCAGTAACCACAGACGGGAGAGCAGGACGGAATCTTTTCCTCCTCAGTCTTCGCGTTTTCCCCGCTCTGCAGCCACGGTAGTTCCTCTTGATCACCGCGGGAATCTCGTGCTGAACACCGGCACAGCTGTGCTGTCTCAGCCCCAGCAACTGGTCGCGGCTATAGACAAAGGGGCAGCGTGGCGTCGCGGTCATCTCAGTTGTTTTGCGCCGAGTTTTGCATCCAAACATGGCACAAAAAGAAAAAACTTCTCGACTACAGAAGAAGTAACTAAATAAACACAAAAAAACAAAGAAAGGGGAAAGTAGTTTTTCAAATGCAGAGAGCATGACAGGCTGCCATCCGAGATGGCGCCGGAAGAACAAGCGTTGCGTTTTAAAAGGTTGCACGGTTTTTTATAACTATTTCCTAATTGATTAAATCTAACAGCAAGGGGCACAATTGTAATCTCTATGCAGTACTCTGAGTAAATAACACTAGGTATTTGCTACACAATCACTTGAACTCTGCATTATGCTGCTCAGTAATGCAACATTTGACACTATTTAAACAGATGACAGTTATCCAACTGTTTAAACTTTTATAGAAAAATCTGTGAAATCTCAGCTATCTTAGGTAACATTGCTTGGTTGCAACTCAGACCGGTTGTCAAAATCAGATAGATAAAGCTGTCATGATTAAGTTCAGTTTGCAGACCCACATGCAGGATTGTGCTCTTGCCTAGGTGTGAAAAACAATTAAGAGAGCTTAGTTAGAGCTTAGGACATTGCCAACACACAATTTTTCTTGTCTTTCTGTACAAGTCAGTTTGAAAGTGAACATTTCCTTTTCGTGTACTGAGTTACAAATCTACAATGAAATATGTGATGTTTGCTGATGATACAAACTTATTTTGTTCTGGAGATAACATAAAGGAATTACTGAAAAACAGCGGAAACACAACTGATGAAGTTAAATAGATGGTTATTTAATAAACTATCACTGAATGAAAGTAAAACAAAAATTATGTTGTTTGGAGGTATTAAGAGTAATATTGAAGTAAAATTGAATTTAAATAATGTTGAAATTGAAAGAGTGTATGAGACTAAATTTTTAGGAGTAGAAATTGATGATAAACTTTGTTGGAAGTCTCCAAGCCCCCACAATGCCGCTCTAAAAATGGTCCCATCCCGGAAGTAAGAAAAATTGCAGTTCCACCCTCATCCGCTGGGGGCTGGTCGCAGAAGCGAGCAAATCCTCATTGACTCCCATGTTAAAAATGCCGATTTCACAGCAGAAATAAACATGTTTACAGCCTGGTTCCAAAACATGTTTTTTGTCTAAATTATCTAGTTTATACTCATGACAACTCTGAGGGGGGTGAATTTTTTTCTCACTCTTCTGTTTAAGTGTATTGAAAGCCTAAAATTCTGTAAAATTAATGAGCATCCGACCCACGTGACCGCCGCCTCAGACCCACGTGACCACAGAGCTAGCTCCGTGGAAAGGCCTCAGTACAGCCTCGGTCCCTCCTGGAAACTGTTACGGGATGTTGAGTCTCTGTGCTTGTGAATTCTTTTTTGGATATTATTGGTGCAATTGTTGGACAAAATGTCTTGCTGTGGTATTAATTGCACTAATAGAGCGTCCAAGGAGTCTCCACTTCATTTTTTTCGGTAAGTTAAAATCTATATTTGTATTTTATGTCACTGCTGCCTTTAAACTAGCTGAGTTTACCGAAGTAGCTAGCTAACTATCAGTTTAACATGTAGCATGTACTGTTTAACCATGAAATTTAAATGTAAAATACGGTAAAACAATTAATAGGGCATATTTCGATGGGTGAAAGGGTAAAACCCAGTGCATTTAAGATAAAAATGGGTTGAAATATGACGGAGCGCGCCGCTTGGACGGACACTTCTGTGCTCCATTCTTTCATCCGGTAATCCCCAGCGGTCAGGCCGGGCAGCCTGACGGATGCGGCGCCTAGCTGCTGCGGGCTGACCGCTCGTGGAGCTCTAGAACTCGGAGACAGATCTGACCGGAGAAATACTGCAGCTCGTTGAGAAGTCTATAGGGCATACAGCGTTTCCCTTAAATCCCACCGCCACGCCGACAAGATCCCGAGTTTCTTTGTTTTTGTTGGCGCTGTTTACCAAAGAAGCAGCGGGAACACCAGCAAGTTTCATCAGACTCGTAAAGTTAGTTTTTGCTGGGGGCCCCCTGTATTTTACTGCTCCCTCCTGCAGTCTTCCCCTATTAAAATTTAAAATGTGTAACTTTATGTATTGGGATGAATGACTGATATTCATGTTAAACTAAAACGTTAGTTATTTAGGGGGAAAAAACAAAATAATAAACATTATACAGATGTCAAATAAATCAAACTGTAATTAAACTATATATTTTCAAAGTCTCGATTCTGGATAAAATCCAACAACATATGCTTTATAAATAAACACTACACATGGCTTTTACACACACACACACACACACACACACACACACACACACACGTTACATTGTGATTTCTTAGTAAATATTCTATTTGGCGAGAGATAAATTTTATTGTATTTATCCTAGTGAATCTATAATTAAACGGGTAAACTAGTAGCACCACATCCAACATCAAAGAAAGTAAAATGTTATTATCAGGAGAGGGAGAATGATTAAGTGGTTAGCAGCAGTGTGCTAGCCGATGGCCCCCTCCATGTGGCCACCACAGCTCAGCAGAACATCATTGTAGCTTCTTCTGGGGAGAAACACACTTAGAGAAAAAATAAAGTTAACAGCTGAAATAGCAGGAAATGATACAGTTAAAGAGCAGATTGTAGAAGAAAGAAACCCCTGGGTTAAACTGGTCTGTCTACTGCATAATAATGAACTCTAACATGTGTCCTCAGGGAAGGACCTGATTGGTGTCCAGAACCTGCTGAAGAAGCACCAGGCTCTGCAGGCTGAGATCACAGGTCATGAACCTCGCATCAAGGCTGTCACCCAGAAAGGAGAGACCATAGTGGAGGAAGGTAGAGCAGGTCTGGTCCTGACATGTTTCTGAGGTGTCTGCAGGTTCTGGCTCACTTTGTTTGGGTCCAGGTCACTTCGCTGGTGAGGAAGTGAAGACTAAACTGTGGGAGCTTCATGGACGTTGGGACACGCTGAAGGCCAAGGCGTCCCAGAGGACGCAGGACCTGGAGGACTCTCTGCAGGCCCAGCAGTACTTTGCGGATGCTAATGAGGCCGAGTCCTGGATGAGGGAGAAGGAGCCCATCGTTGGAAGTCCAGACTACGGGAAAGACGAGGACTCGGCCGAGGTATGGAAGTCCCTTCCTGAGAAACTCCAATCACTTTTCTTTGCTCTCTTTCCAGTCCTTCATAATTAGTGTTTCTGTATTTGTCATTTCCTTCGGTTGTCTACCAGACGTCGTTGCTCGTTTGAGCGTCTCATGGGTTAGGGGTAGAAGTGCTGGCCTCGCACAGGAAGTGATGACAAACGTGTTCCCGTCGCTCTTATTTCAAACGATTTACGAGCTGTGATGTGCATTCCCGCTGCAGAGCAGCCATGACACATGGCAGCCGGCAGAAGGCTCACGCTTTTCCACTAAACACCCGCAGAGCTGCTTCTGCGGTGAACTGAGCAGGGTTTGTTTTACGGTGGCGGATCCGATTGGACCATCGCTGCGAGAAAGCTCCACTTGTGTCAGACAAGCTGAAGGTTCTGATGTTCTGCTCCACAGGCTCTCCTGAAGAAGCACGAGGCCCTGATGTCGGACCTGTCGGCTTACGGCAGCAGCATCCAGGCCCTGAAGGAGCAGGCCCAGTCCTGCAGGGTGAGTTCAGAACCCTCGGCCCGTCAGAACATTCTTATCCACCACGTTCTAACACCAGACCTGTTAATCCGACAGCAACAAGTGGCTCCAACTGACGATGAGACCGGGAAGGAGCTGGTTCTGGCTCTGTACGACTACCAGGAGAAGAGTCCTCGAGAGGTCACCATGAAGAAGGGCGACATCCTCACGCTGCTCAACAGCACCAACAAGGTTCGTGTGCCCTTCACAGCCGAGGAACGACCTCCAGCTCAGAGCGACCATCTCCACACCTGCTTTGTGTTTGTGTGACTTTGTTGTTTTACTTGAACTCGCGTCTTTAGCTGAATGAGGATGGAGAGACGGGTCGGACCTGGAGCAGGTCGAGGTCTTGCAGAAGAAGTTTGACGACTTCCAGAAGGTCGGACTTTTCCTCCTCTCCGTCTTCCAGCAGCAGCTGTCAGATCAGCTCAGGTGATAATCAGCAGGTGCTTTTGTCCTGCAGGACCTGAAGGCCAACGAGTCCCGCCTGAGGGACATCAACAAGGTGGCATCTGAACTGGAGTCAGAAGGTCTGATGGCTGAGGAGGCTCCTATGGTTCAGGCTCAGGTGAGCGTCACCTGTCTGCAGCAGCTGGTCCCTCTCACTTCCTGGTTTGTTAACTCTGCTCGTCTCTGTTTGTAGCAACAAGAACATCTGGGTTCTGCTCCTGGAAAGGTGCGTGTTGTCCTCCACCTCCACCAGAACCAGACGTGGTGTTTTTGTTACCACTCATTTGTTTGTTTGTTTGTTTGTTTGTTTGTTTGTTTGTTTGTTTGTTTACGGGATGAAGCTGACTCTAACCCCGGCTTTCCACCAGAGCCGTCAGCAGCACGTTACTGCAGCAGCACGTCATAGCTGCTGATAGGAACCGCTGTGGTCAACAGAGCATTTTCCACTGGAGCCGTCAGCAGCCGTCAGCAGCGCGAGTCGGCCGCGTCTCAGGAGCAGCATGACGCGGCCTTTACGCGCCGGTTCTATTTTCTACACGCGACGCCTCTGAAACGGGTCAAGTTCGACCTTTTTGGGGAAGGAAAGACAGGAAATCGGACGCGGAAATTGAGAGAAGCTCCCGGGATTTTTAGAATAAAGAACGTACTGCCTTCCGGTTGCTTTACTTTTAAAAAAGGTTACTAACTGTGCGGCCCCGTGAGAAGTTATCACCTAGCTAGCGGTCTCCTTTGTTTTTCAGGTCCGTATTGGCGATTATGAAACGGACAGAACATAAAACACAAACCATGTTGTAGTTTTCTCCTGCTTGTTGTTGTGTTTACTGACGAAGTCACTTGTGTGACTTCGTGCTCTGTCGGTGACAGCTGCTCCCCTGCTGCTTCGCGTCTCGTGGGAAGGGCCAAGCAGCAGCTTACGCGAGCAAGACGTGCTGCTGCAGTAACGTGCTGCTGACGGCTCCCGTGGAAACCCGGGGTAAGACGGCGTCACCCTAGAAGGTGAGTTCATTCAGCTGATCAGAGGTCACCTCTGATGGCCGCAGTCACGGCCGACCGTGCTGACATCACACAGGAATTCAGGTGACCCGGCAGGCACCAGGTGCTGGTGAAAGTGGGGACATGTCAGCTGGTTGCCATGGCTACAGTTATCTTTATGCATCTGTATGACTGCTGACTGGTGTGTGTTTCCTGTGACCTTTGACCTCAGACCGTACGGTTGGGCGTTCAGACGACGGCTAACTTTAATTCCATCAAGGTAAGAGGAAGCTCTTCCCTTCCTGTCTGAGCGATCCGTCTCCAGGTTTCCTCGTCCGGCGTCCAGCCCGCTGGCGTCCACCTTCATCTCACTGGGTTTGGTTTCTCTCCAGGAGCTGAACAACCGCTGGCGCTCGCTGCAACAGCTGGCTGAAGACCGGAGCAACATGCTGGGCAGCGCCCATGAGGTGCAGCGCTTCCACAGGTACCCCGCACACTTATGCGCCGCTTACGGGTCAGTAGAGTTTGGACCCACACTCAGACGGAGTTCTGATGTCTTCTCAGAGACGCTGATGAGACCAAAGAGTGGATCGAGGAGAAGAACCAGGCCCTGAACACAGACAACTACGGCCACGACCTGGCCAGCGTTCAGGCTCTGCAGCGTGAACATGAAGGCTTTGAGCGTGACCTGGCAGCTCTGGGTGATAAGGTCCGCTTCCTGATCGGTACCAGGACCCGGGTTGTCTCTGGAGACACGTTCTTCATGGTTCTGGTGTCTCCACCCCAGCTGTTCCTGATCAGCAATCAGCGGGGTGCTTTCCTATTTAAGGTGGATGGAGGACACAGTTTGATGCCAGAAGATTGCCTCAGTTTTGGTAGTAACCAGCCACTCGTGTTACCTCTAGTGTTCCTAGGATTAATGTTATTTCGTAGTGTTTTTGCTCTTATATTGGATTTACCATTCTTCAGGATTCCTGTCGACCTCATTGGATACTGACCTCTACTCCAGGATTTGGATATTCAACACACGGACCTTATCACCACCCTCCATAACCCACCTCTCATCTCACCCAGTGCCCCATCCACCAGGACGCCCCGCTTCTCTCCACCTCTGCTCCCTCTCCTGCGCTTCCCCCGGCTCTCTACCTCTCCCTCCTCCAGCCAACACATACACCCCCCACAGTAAGTCTGCTGAACACCTCTGCCTGCCTACAATGGATTTTGAAACCAGAACCTAAGCTCACCTGTGTTCTCCCTCCTCCAGACGCTGAGCTGTTGTTGCAGTTCCAACCACAGACTTATCTGTGCACCTTAAGTTCCTCCTTATAAATAAATCATTTTTTCCATCAGTTTTTGGTCAGTGTTGTATTCTGCATGTCTTGGGTTAAGTACCTTCCTCCAAACATGACACTCCTCTTCAAAGAGCAAATCTGTTCAGCACATTCTGACAGACAGACCACCATTCTTCTGTCATGATGCTGTACAGGACATTTTTAGAGTTTTTCTTTTTAAAGATAAATAGGATTACATTTATAGAGCAATACTTTCACATTATCATTTTCCCATACTTCTGTATACCTGTATTTTGTTGTTTTTCAATAAAGAATGACAAATTATTTAAGTTTGGTTTTTGTTGCACACAAATATATATCTGTAAAAAATATCTACAAAGCTAATGTTTACATAACAAGTATGATTGGGTTTTGCAATACGGCACTATTTTAGTAAGATTTTAAAACCAAGTAAAGTTAGTAAAGAACACATTTCTATTGGCTGCTAAGAAACTGTTGGGATTTAAAATGGGCCTGTTGTACAAATAACTTGTAAATGATTATTCCTCACTTTTGTCTTAACCAAAGAAATTCCAGTAATTGAGCAAAAACATTTATTTTTAACACTACATTTTATAAAACAGGGCGCAAAGTGTCGGCACATGTATGTATGTCGATGGTCCGCCCCAACCGAACCAGGAGACACAGACGTCAGGGAGGCCAAGGTTGTCTCCGACGGTCTCTGCAGCTCTCTGGGCACCACGCCTCACTCAGCTGTCTCCAATGATCCAAATGGCTATGGAGGAAAAAATAACAGGTTTGTCATAATTGTTTAAAGAACAAAACCATACATGAAGTGGTGAGACAGGTATTTGGAACTTACACTTGCTGCTTTGTGTAGCTGATGTTGGAGACACACAGGCTGCCATCGTGACCTTTAAACAGATCTAAGAAAAAAATGTAATAAAAGAATGAAACTTAAAAACTCCCAGACCTCATGTCATATTTACTAATCAGCTATGGCTGATTTATTGTTTGGATCACAGTGAGTTACACTAATTCTAATATATTTTTATTTCTATTATACATACAGACTTTTTAACTGTTATTTTCACATGACTGTCATCAGGATGTCTTGTTCTGGTTCTGATGATAATTCCGTGTCTTCCAGTAAGTTATCTTGTGCTTACTTCATCTGTAGAATGTCTCTTTACTTTTGGTAAATTGTACTGAGTCCAGAATAAAGGGTAGTTGGCTGTACAAGATACAAACAAGTATTACATTTTGGAAATATATGAAATGTATTTAGGCTGCTAATTTAGCTCGAATTCTAATAACTGCCATATTTTCCGGACTATAACTCGCACTTTTTTTTACATATTCTGGCTGGTCCTGCTACTTATACTCCGGAGCGACTTATATAACAAAATATGTAGGCTACGGCTACACCGCGCTGCTGCGGGCCGACTCAGACCCGCCCAAGAATGAGTTCCCCTGTCCCGCTGGGAGGGTTTCAAACACCGCCAGCATCTGTTAGAGCCTGTGGCGGGGTGCTGAGGGCCGGCTCCAGCCCAGGAATGAGCTCTCCTCGCCGGCCGGGAGGGTTTGAAACACCGCCATCCTCTCCTCTGCTGGCTGTTGTTCATTCTGTTATGGTTACCGGTGCTTGTGTTGCAATGTGAAACGCTTGGTCTCAGATTTTGTAAGAAAGATAATAAAATGTCCCCCCAAAATACGACTTAAATATATTTTCTCTTCTTCATTATACATTTAATGGCTGGTGCGACTCAGGAGCGATAGCCCGGAAGATACGGTACTGAAAACTTGCTCACAGCAAAATGTTTTCATTACGGAAATAAATTATAAACTTACAGATTCAATACTTTTTTAATCCAGGTACTTGTCACTAACAGGCGCCGAAAACCTCCACCTAAACTCCGTGTGAGGTTCAGGTCGATGGGTGTTCCAGTTAGCTCCGGTTGGGTTGAAGGTAGGTGGCTACATCCGTTAGCTCGGCTCCCACCTCCGCGTTAGCTTTGGGTTAGCCAGGGTTAGCTTCAGGTTAGCTCGTAGCTAGTTTGCACGGGTGTCGTCACTCGAGCCCAGCCTTACAGCCCCACCCTCAGCTCCTCCTCTCTTCCCTTTTATGGAAATGTCTGGGCTGGACGGAACCTGTGACACGGTCAAAATGGCGGTGGTGGCCACCTCCCATTATGGACAAAAAACGTGTTATTGGAGCCTATGGAATCCGTTTGTCCAGTATGTACAGTCTATGGAAGTCTCACATAGATCATATGAAACGGAAATTATCTAAGTCTATTTCTATTCTTTATAAAACAAGAGATTTATTGCACAAGAGCTGCCTTTATTTACTGTACACTTCCCTTTGTTTGCCTTATGAGTTATTGTGCGGAAATTTGGGGGAAAACATACAAAACATATCTGGATTTGATTTTTAAATAGCAAAAAAGACCCAGATAGCAAATTCTTTTTGGCCCTAGTTTGGCAAGCCAGTCTTGGTACTCTTTTGGATGGAATGATGGGCCAAATATGGCCCATATTAGGCACACCAAAATAGAATTATGGATTGTCAAAAGATTGCCAGAATCATTTTTGGCACTAGTTTGGCATGCCAGTTTGGTACTCTTTTGGGTGGAATGATGGGCCAAATATGGCCCAAATAAGGCACGCCAAAATAGAATTATGGATTGTCAAAAGATTGCCAGAATTCTTCCAAAATAAATTGTGGAATTCCAAAGCACAACCATAACTATACCAAAAGAACCCCAAAACACCACAAAATGGCCAAAGGATATCAAAGTGTAACCATACGTTTGCCAAAAGATCACCCAAAATAAAATGTGGCTTTCCAAAGCATAGCCATAACCATCCCAAAACCCCATAATAAAGCCAAATATGAACCATAACTTATCCATAATTAGCCATACGTTTACCAAAAGATTGTATTTTATTCTGAACCTTATGCTAAATTTAATTTAACATTTTAATAGTCTATAAAATGTCCTTGTACAGAAGATTCAGATTTTGTGCCTCAGTTAAATAGCCTTGTGAAATAGCCTAGGTTACTGTGTGTACGAGGTGCATAAACATAAAACCAAACAAGAGTAAAATTTGAATATTTTATTTATTTATTTTTGTAAAGGTCAGTCCTGGACTGAGTCCTGGGCTGGTTGAGGGGTTGGTTGGGCGGGCATTCTCCTTTTAAGCCCTCCGTCCCAATCCCCAGCCCAGTAGAACCATTTTTTAATTGTATTTATAATTTCTGCCTCCGTAGATGCCACACAGACCGGATTCCTTCTCACTGCAGCTGAAAATAAAGGCATACACATGGAGAAAGACTTAGAAAAGGACGACGCAACAGTCCATGCAAAAGAGACCTGTGGTGGGCTAAGTAACTGGCTAGTTAAAAAGTCAGTTTTGCATTAGTTAATGGATGCATCTCGTCATATGGGGTTGAAAGTGACAGCCAAAGTTACAACATTAAATCATCATAGTCACTTAGTACTTACACTGCCACAGTTTACTTTACCAAACACAGTTTACCAAACACAAACCAGCAGTTCTTTCCTGACACTAAAACCAAACAAGAATTTCACGAGCGAGAGTTGACCCTGAAGAACGCGTCACATTGCGGGCAAAGTGGCAATAGCTGTCTTGAAGCCAGCGATAGCGTGGTGTTATAATTACGAGATATTCACAGGCGCACTGCGTGCCATTTCGCAAATGAGTTGTTAAGACTATAAGTATTTTGACTTTGAAAAGAAATGTGATTGTCATGGGTGGCTAATAATTTTATCCTAAACTATGATTTTATCAGCTGTGTGATAGAACAGTCGTGTTACTGTTGTGATTAAACTTACCAATTACAATGCCTTTTAGGTGGAGCCTCTCAAAGGCCACCTTCCCATTTGGCCCTCGGCGAGGGCATTAGTCATGGCTCCTTTGAGGACCCGCCACACCGTGTCCTTAACTGTGGACCCCCCCGCAAGGCCGAGTGTTGAACCCTAAAATTAGAAAAATTGATCTTCATTAATTTTTTAAACAAAGATTGATTTTCATTGAATTTTCAAACAAATATTATACAAACTTAAAGAAAAGCCTGGATAGCCATTGTGCTCCACTATTTATTAATTTGGCGTTTCGTGGTTGCCTGATGAAGGGCAGAGACCTGAAATGTGTGTGTGTGTGTGGGGGGGGGGGAATAATTGGGTGGAGCTCGTTGGCTGCACAAGCAGTCCTTTAACTCCTTTGGCATATCTACCGCTTTAAGATATTGAACAACACATAAATTGGATGTGCATGCCAAAATGCATTGTCCAAAACTTTGTTGTAAAGAACAGAAAAAAGCTCACCAATTCATGGGCCAATGTTGGACTGATTCCAAGCTCCCTCTCCAAGGCCATCAGGGCCTGAACATCTGCCAAGGGGAAGATGCCGTGGTGCCTGGTCTCCACACTTCCCCCTGTGGTCAGGCCCTGAAGAGCAGCAACAGCAACAAAAGGTCCTGCACCATTTTGGTGAGGCCGCGCTGCTGCAGCAGGATTATTTCCTGTTTCACCAGGACTTCATGCAGGAGAGCTGAAAAGCATTTCAGACACAAAGAAACAACATAGTTTAAGCATTTTTGCATTTAGATGTTGTGTGTGTGTGTGTGTGGCATTTTAATTAACCAAAAAGAGCACACGTCACCCCTCTGTTCATTGAGCTCCACTGGCTACCGCTAGCAGCACGCATCAAATTCAAATTGCTAACACTAGCATACAAAGTCCGAGATGGTACGGCTCCCATCTACCTGAATCCTCTTGCAAAGGCTTACGTCTCGGCCCGGTCGCTCCGGTCATCACAGGATTGTCGGCTAGCAGTGCCTACACCACGCTCAGGACAATCCAGACTCTTCTCATGCATCGTTCCACGAATGTGGAATGACCTTCCAAGCACTACCAGAACAGGGGCTTCATTTTCAATTTTCAAGAAACTCCTGAAGACCCTGCTCTTCAGAGAGCATCTTCTAAACTAGCACCCCCCCTGCACCCGTCCCCCCTCTCTACTGTCCACTCCTTGTTTCGTCCTCTCCATGACTGATGTCAAGTTGTTGTTGTTGTTAGCCTCAAGGGCAACATGCCGATTATCACTTGTAAGTCGCTTTGGACAAAAGTGTCTGCTAAATACATAAACATAATTCTTTTCCATTCAGACTCTCTCTCTCTCTCTCTCTCTCTCTCTCTCTCTCTCTCTCTCTCTCTCTCTCTCTCTCTCTCTCTCTCTCTCTCTCTCTCTCTCTCTCTGTGTGTGTGTGTGTGTGTGTGTGTGTGTGTGTTTAGCTTTATAAACCATCTTATATTAGTATGTATGCGTGGATCATGTGTTTGTATACCGAAACTGGCATGTGAGGACTGGGTGAGTGTAAACCATAAAAACCTTACATGTTGTGTTGTCCCTCTGCTGCCACTGCCCTGGAGAGGAGCTAGGGCAAACTGTAGGCACCTGGACAGCCGATACCTCCCTCATCATCCCACCAGATGAAGAGGGAGTTGGAACTGGAACCCCCTGGGTTCCCTGGTGACCCTGCAGGTCAATGGCCTGCCGCAATGATGTCCCCAGGGTCATGACATGCTGGAAGAGTGAGTAGAAGAGGGAGAGGAAGAAGAACAACAGTTTACAAAATGCAATTATTGACCTCAACAGTGACATAATGGCTACAGAATTGTTTTTCTCCAAACTGCCTGTAACTGCCTCATTAACCTTTGTAAATTTCCTAATGTATCACATTTGAAACACCACACTTACCTGATCAGCTACACTCAAACCCATTTGCTATACATACGTTACTGTGGTATTTGTTGAGATTTCCATTACCTGGTAATTGGTCAGGTCAGGCAGAGGTACAGGTTATTGGGGAGGATGAACCTTCTCCTCACTGGGGGGATGGCTGGGGGTGGGGGAAGCCCTCTTCCAGGGGTCTGGGCTTCATCCTCTGATGAGGCCCGGTCCTGGACATATGCTTGGCCTTTGGAAATGAACACACAAGACAACATTTATTCTGAATTAAACATTTAATTTAAGTTAATGAGTGCAAATTCAACACAGGCCCAAGAGGTGGAGGAATGGAAAGTTCACAAAATTCTTACTTAATTCTTCTTTGAGGCCTTTCAATGGCTTCCGCCTCAGACTGGAGGTCTGTCTGCTCCTCAGCAAGAGGGAGCTTCCTCCTCGCCTCATTAAGTCATCTGTGTTCACAGCAGAGTACATTTTCATGTTGTGTCACTTTCTTAATTATCTTTATTAAATATACCGCTCCTGCCCGCTCCCGCTGAATTTCTGACCATTACCGCCTGCAACCGCAACGTGTGTGTAACACTCCCGCACCCGCTGTGTGCATGTCTACTCCCGCCCGCAACCGCAAAACTCTGAGAAATTATTACCTCACAATAAAAGACATGTAATGAGTTTGTGTCCTCTCTGGTCCTGGAGAAAACGTCATTTTATAGGCTATACCAGGGGTCGGCAACCCGCGGCTCTTCCATCCATCTGGTGCGGCTCTCTGTGCTTGTAAAATAATGGATATTTAAATAAAATGCTTTATATTTTACTGAATTAACGTTATATCTGTAAGTTAATTCTAAATGTAAAGATTGTCTGCGTAAACCTGAACAGTTCCAACCCAGTCTTACTGTGAGACCGGGTTGACGGGTCACGCTTGTGCGTAATTGGCATTTTCTGAGCTGAAGAAGACATGAGATTCTGGGCTTCTCCTCAGACAGGCTCAGGGATGTGTTGCCACATTGGAGACAGGAACAAGCGCTATTCAGCCAAAGTTTCATAATCAGGGAACATTTTCTGACCTTCCCGCATGCGCCCTGGTTCTGCGACACGCTCCAAGCCCCTCTCCACATCTTCAGCTCGCTGTGCACCGTACGTACGCACTGACAGCGAGCTGCGCTGAGCGGTGTCCAGCTCAGATGTTCAGATGGGAATCTTTTCTCGGGTGATTTAGCTACATCTGCAATAAAATGTCAGTTTGTCTGCATGCGTATTCTTTCTATTCTTTCTCCGTCAAAATAAACGGTCAAATACGGGAAATATCCGGTCAACACAACACAAGCCCTGCTTTTAACTGTTTTGTTTTCTTGTGAAAATTGTTGGAAAGAGATTAAATTTAACTTGATTGACAAGAGCCAGTGCGCCGTTATCTCCGTGACTAGAAATGAGGGAAAAACAAATTGATCGGATCCTGCACGTCTTTTAACACATTGGTCAGGATTGACGCACTTCGTTTTCATTTAGTTTTTAACCCTTTAACGCCGATGCGTCACCAGGATCACCGGTGACGCATTGGCGCATGTTATTTCAAACAACTCGCTACTTAAACTATAAAATTCTTTAAAAAAAACCTAAAGGAGCTATTGTGTGGTGCTTAAAGGGATAATGAAATCAAGGCCGTTTCATATTCCATTCTCCTCTGTAATCAGGAAGTGATCGAGGTCACTTTTCTGAGACCTGAATGAGAAATATTAACACAATCGGAGAAACTGCTCCAAATGTCTGACTTGCCTTGCTTTGGTTTTTGTGTCATAAAGACCTTGTTTCAGCTTCTTTTCAACATCAGTTGCCGACTCCATCATACTCATCCCGGAACGAGGCCGAATATTACATTTTGCTAAAACAAACAATACAGACCTAAAACAAAACTATAGCAAACAAAAAGGTAGGATTCAAGAAGAAATAGTACTCACCTCTGTCGTGATGCTGGAGAAATGAACAAATTAGTCCTGATTCCCGGTCTTCGATCACTATTTTTCCCGCCATTTGATGAGTTTTATGGCTTGCCAAAATAACCCCATAGCACACCTGCAGAAGTCAAAGACGCTGTCCCGCTCTCTTCTGGCTACCCAGAATATGTCATAATAGCCAGCCGCCTAATTTTCTATTATGGCAAACCATAATTATGCCACGGTTAAAACAGAAACACTCGCTGATGTAATTGTCTATAATGGGAACCCAAAATTATGCCACATTTAAACCAAAATACTTTTTCGAACTTTTTTGTGCCAGAAGGATGCCAAAATGCCCAATTAATGCCAAAATAAAACCAAAATGAAACCAAAATGTTTGCTATCTGGGGAGCTATTAGAATAATAAATAAAGCTGGATATATGGAGTCTACGAACCAATTTTTTGTAGGATCAGCTATCAGAATCAGAAAAACTTTATTTATCCCCGAGGGGCAATTAAAAAAAATAACGGCAGAGCAGCATGACGTTGGACATATGTTAACATTTAAGGACATTATATATATATATATAAAAGGGGGTCTTCTATGTTTGAAATGCCTAAACTTTCTTGGCCACAGTCCAGTTACCAGCCACTGAATGAGCCAGAAGCTCCTTTCCACAATCCACCTACCAGCCACTGGGTGAGCCAGAAGCTCCTTTCCACAATCCACCTACCAGCCACTGGGTGAGCCAGAAGCTCCTTTCCACAATCCACCCACCAGCCACTGGGTGAGCCAGAAGCTCCTTTCCACAATCCATCTACCAGCCACTGGGTGAGCCAGAAGCTCCTTTCCACAATCCACCCACCAGCCACTGGGTGAGCCAGAAGCTCCAGTCCACAATCCACCTACCAGCCACTTGATGAGCCAGAAGCTCCTTTCCACAATCCACCTACCAGCCACTGGGTGAGCCAGAAGCTCCAGGCCACAATCCACCTACCAGCCACTGGGTGAGCCAGAAGCTCCTTTCCACAATCCACCTACCAGCCACTGGTTGAGCCAGAAGCTCCAGGCCACAATCCACCTACCAGCCACTGGGTGAGCCAGAAGCTCCTTTCCACAATCCACCCACCAGCCACTGGGTGAGCCAGAAGCTCCAGTCCACAATCCACCTACCAGCCACTTGATGAGCCAGAAGCTCCTTTCCACAATCCACCCACCAGCCACTGGGTGAGCCAGAAGCTCCAGGCCACAATCCACCTACCAGCCACTGGGTGAGCCAGAAGCTCCTTTCCACAATCCACCTACCAGCCACTGGGTGAGCCAGAAGCTCCAGGCCACAATCCACCTACCAGCCACTGGGTGAGCCAGAAGCTCCTTTCCACAATCCACCTACCAGCCACTGGGTGAGCCGGAAGCTCCAGTCCACAATCCACCTACCAGCCACTGGGTGAGCCAGAAGCTCCAGGCCACAGTCCAGCTACCAGCCACTGGGTGAGCCAGAAGCTCCTTTCCACAATTCACCTACCAGCCACTGGGTGAGCCAGAAGCTCCAGGCCACAATCCACCTGCCAGCCACTGGGTGAGCCAGAAGCTCCAGGCCACAATCCACCTACCAGCCAATTGTTGAGCCAGAAGCTCCTTTCCACAATTCACCTACCAGCCACTGTGTGGGCAAGAGGTTTTTGGGCTATACCAGGTGGCAGCTTGATCCAACATGGGGCCAAAGAAAGGAATCACAGCTGAAGAAGGAGATGACATTAAAAAAATCCTCGGAATTTATGACAGAGGAAATTTCTACTATCAGAAAGCAGCAGATTACCATTTTGAACTTAGTGGAGGAAGTAAAGACTCTCCGCCTGCAGAATGCTGAAAAAGACAAGCGCCTGTTGTTGTTAGAGACAAAAGTGGCGGAATTGGAGCAGTACACCAGACTAAATGATGTCATTGTCAGTGGTTTACGGATTCAACCCCAAACATAAGCCCGAGCAGTAGCTAATACCAATAATGGTCAACAGCCTGATGAGGAAGAAAATACTTCTGTGGAACAACAGGTGGCAACCTTCCTCACGACGAAGGCTGTTGCAGTGGACTCTTGCAACATTGAAGCATGCCACTTGCTGTCTCGAAGGAGTAACAGTGATAAACAAGCTACGATAATAAGATTTGCCAATAGGAAGCACAAAATGGCTCTCATCAAACAAGGTAAAAAGCTGAAAGGAACCAATGTCTACATGAACGATCATCTCACAAAACAGAACGCAGATATTGCAAGAAAGGCTAGATACCTCAAAAAAGAAGGAAAAATTCAACACACATGGACTTCAAACTGTAAAATATATATCAAACTGAAGGGAACTCCTGAACAAGCGAAGGTGTTGCATATCAGGAATATGGAGGAGTTGGACAAGTATTAAACCAATGGAGGTATGAAGACATACAAACTGAGATAAATCTTATGGTGGACTCACAATCAACTGATTCAATAGTTACTAATTCTGATCATGTTAATCTGGATAGTCAGGATACAAATTTTGAGATTTTTCAGTACACTGAATACAATTTTATGGACATGGAAAGTGACTTGGATCCAGAAAATAATTTTCTTTCAAGGATCTCTTGTTGTAGCAAGTATTACTCCGATGATCGGTTTAACCAGCTTATAAAGGCTGATGACAAGTTTTCCATAATTCACTTTAATAGTAGGAGTATTCATGCAAATTTTAATAGAATTAAAGAATATTTGGATGACATCAATGGCACATTCAGCGTAATAGCAATATCAGAAACATGGCGGAAGGATGATATGACCTTAGCTTTGAATTGGATGACTATGAAGCCAATTATCAGTGGAGGAGGTGTTGCACTATATGTTGATAAGAATTTAAATTACAAAGTTGTAAAAAAATGTCATTTTCAGTTGATAATTTATTAGAGTGTATATCTATAGAAATATCAAAGTCTAATATGAAAAACATTGTTGTCAGTTGTGTATACAGGGCACCTGGGTCTGATATGCATGACTTTTTAAAATGGTTTGAAGGAACCTATTCAACACTTCAGAAGACAGTCTTCATTTGTGGTGACTTTAATCTTTAATCTCCTAAATCCTAACACATTGAAGCAAATAGATGAATTTATTAATACAGCATACAGTTTAAGCCTTTACCCGACAATTACTAAACCAACTAGAGTAACTTCACACTGTGCAACATTAATTGATAATACAGTATACTAACAAATAACATAGAGAATAATATAATAAGTGGTCTCTTAGTTAATGATATTACTGACCACTTACCAATTTTTATAATTTATGATGATAATTATAGGAATAATAATCCAGGTAATAGTATAAGGTACAGACGTATACGAACAGTTAATACAACTAATGCCTTGAAGAACAAATTGATAAGACAGACATGGGAGGAAGTGTACCAGCAAACTGATGTTGACAAGGCTTATGAGACCTTTGTAAGAATATTTATTTCATTGTATGATAAGAATTGTC